CCACGCAGACACCTCAGCAGCACACAGAGAAGAGGGCTAGGTGAAAGGAGAGGGTGGGAAAAGGAGAGCATAGTGGTGCTCTTACAGTGATGGCAACATAAATGTCTTTATTTGCATATTAACCTTGAATTAATTGCAAGTCACAAAATAAACAGAGACGTGTCGATAAATAAAATTGGTTTAATTTTTCTGCAATGATACAAAAATAAAACATCAACTGAGCATCGTGTCAACTTCTAAAAAGAGCACAGATGCTATAAAAAGCAATGAGTGATGTGTCTTTGTGGCGAGACTGATAGTGTGAAGACGAGAGTTCATTCAGTCAGAGTTAACCTTGAGGCAGCAGAGTCCTCTCCCTCCTTGTTTGTCCTTGTCGGCTTTCCACCAGACTCGACTTTGTCTCCTCAGAGATGATCTGAAGGCGAGTGTGTGTTTAATTGCATCTGTTTTGTTTGTTGGCAAACTCCTGCGTGAAACACAACACAAACATTTATGGCAGCAATTAAAAGACATGTCATATTAATGGAAAGAACGAACTTGGCAAACACACACAGACACACACACACACACACACACACACAGAGCCGTGCCATTATGGCGGCACAGCATTTGAATTTATGGAGAAATGTGTGGGAAAGAAAGCCCAAAATTTCCCAAGTTTAGCACCAGCTTGAAAACTGGAGCACAGACTTATTCGACAGCGTGCCCGTCTCTGAAATTATTTAAACAGAACTTTCAGCCTAAATTCAACTTATAAAACTGCACATGCTTAAGGAGATCAACGTGCCTTGTGTGCCTCCGTGTTAGCAAACTCTTCCCAAACAGACACTGAATGGGGTTCTGCCCCTTTAATCCCCGGGGAGGGGACTGGATGTGTTTTGATGACCTCTGGGGTCACTTACATGTTACATTACACAAAGGTTTAGCTCTTTTGTGATAAGGGAAGAGTGCGGGGAAAGCCCTCTGTTTAGGCATCTTGCTCACTATGCAGTTGTTGCAGCAGCAGCAGTGGTTGCATGTATCCATCAAACCTGCCAGGCTAATTAAAATACAGCTTGTGATTATCCTTCTCCAGCTCATCTTTCTCTCTTTCTTCCTCTCTCTCTGTCACCCACACACTCACAACCAAAAAAAAGAAAGAAAGGGAAAAAAGAAAAACACACACACACACACCAAATATCTAGCTACAGTAATTACTGCCTGCATCATTGATAAACAATAGAGTTTAACCTCAATCATTACATTAACTTAACTCTTAGCTGCGATAAAAACAATTTGAAATAAAGTAGTTTAAAACTTCATTACTACATTTACATAACAATCCTATTTTTATTTAGTTTTTTTGGCAGTTGAATGATATCTGGGTGGATGGTAATAGTTTTAATTCTATAAAGTAATATTTCTGTTGGTTTATACATAATAACTTTGTGTATTTAATAAAGAGGGGAGAAAAAACTAGAGCATGTTAGCAGAAGTAATACTGAACGATAAAGGCTGACTGAAGTGTAATCAACCTTTCCTGGGGTAAATTTGAAATCCTATGTGCAGAAGGAAAGGCTCTTCTTGACATTACAGATTATCATTTCTATATGAATGCTTTACATGATTTTGTTCCCATTTTAAGTCTCTTTTTAAGCTGAGAATGAAATCCACCAACACATTCCTCGTATTCAGCCATGCGAATATGAAACTATAGGTGGGAAAAGAGAAGCAAAAGAGATGCGAGAAAAGCTGTTTTGATGGCAAATATGTTATTTGAAATTAAGGAAATTTACAAGCACCTTTTTTTCCTCTTTTTTTTGTTTTTTTTTAAGTGCGTTCATGTATTCTATAATGTGTTGATTATTTCTTTTCCACGCCTGGATAAAGCACAGAGCAGTGAAATAGGGGTCTGTATTGCCTGTAATTATCCAATCTTAAAAATGCGATTTTTTCCCCCCCCCTATCAAACAAGGGTCAAACATCCAGGGCCTGCGCAGTGCGTTTGAAAAGATGCATGGCTACGCATTAACTGTAGAAATCACAGATTGGAGCGGGCCTGGTGAAATCCTCACCCTCAGGTTGAGTGTAGCAGAGGCGGAGATAAAAGCAGTCGTCGTCAATTAGCCGGGAGTCAGTGGGAGCGCTGCTCGCCAGAGGCGTTTAACTCCTTCTCCTTTTAAACGTCCTTTTAAGATACAAAGTCCCCGAGGAGGGCCAGGCTTTACAGTTTAATAAATTATTTAGCAATTTAAACGGTGAGATCCAGCAGATAACAGCACAAGACGTCATCATTTTTCACGCAGTTTGAGACCCTCTGCATGCAGCTGCCAAACATAAGGAAACATTAATAAAATATTTTTTTAAATTAAGGTTTTACTGTCAAACTGTTTTTGGTTGTTTTGTTTTTTGTTATTTTTTATTTAGGCGTGCACATTGTAACAGTCACAAGCACACCCTCGTGTGAAATAATGTGAAACCTCAAGAAAGTGCAGGACTTCATTCACACTTTGTGCGCTATGATGATTTTTGCCATGTTTTAGTAATAAAGCAAACAGCAACACAACTTAAAAAAATACTTATCAAACAGTTAATTATTCCACCCGTTTAAATTTGCCTCTACGTGATAAGTTAAGTGATTAATAGACTCCTTTTCGAATAGATGAGGCAGTTCCTCTTAATCTTTCAAGAATAAAAATAAAAAATAAGCACGAGTTGCAAAAGAAAGAAAGAAAGAAAGAAAGAAAGAAAGAAAGAAAGAAAGAAAGAAAGAAAGAAGGTTACCTGAATGTGTCGCAGCTCCTGTTTCTCAAACATCTCCCAACTTTTCTCCCCTCGGCTGTGCTGTTAAAAGAAATCCAGCTTCGTGATCCACACCGCCGCTTCCCCACGATCGAAATCTGTCAACAGAGATGTCACTGAGTTTTGCAAAGTTGATAAGGTGTGCTGTGCGTCAGACTGTGTGAGCTCCAGAGGCTGAGCGAGAACCGGTACTCTCGGCAGCTGTCACTGCACCTTTGACTCCGGCCTTGCACACGAGCCACGGAGAGAGGCAAGCGACGAGTCATAAAAGCCCACGGTCTGTCTGTGTTTATAAATCTAAATCAATATTCAAATCTGTTTGAAGTGGAGCGGGTGTGTCCGTGCAAGCGCACAGTGTGTGTGTGTGTGTGTGTGTGTGTGTGTGTGTGTGTGTGTGTGTGTGTGTGTGTGTGTGTGTGTGTGTGTGTGT